GATAGACTGGGGTCAGGTGATGCTACTTTCCTTGTGGGGGACTCTGGCTTCTCTGGAGCCTTTGTCACACAACTATCAGCAACAGCAGCAACAGCAATGCTGAAGGAGGGGAGTGGGAAACAGAGAGCAGTTACTTTGGCATCAGACTGAGAAAGCAAGATAGATTAGCAGGGAGGGAGAAAGAGACAGGAAGCAATGGGAGAGGCAAGACTTTGTGTGCTTCATTTGTCTGGAAAAGCATTCCTGAGAGGTAGAAGCATGTGGTCATGTGATCTCTGTGGACTCAGCAGTGGCGCTGCAGCCACCACAGAGTGCCGAGATGCGCAGCAGGCACAGTCACCGGGGCCAAAAACCTGGCAGAGCGTCTCGTTAATGCTTGTTGTTAACATAACTGCTTTGAACATCAACTCAATTACAAGATTGGGGGGGGGGGGTCCTAAAATAAGCATTGAAATCTCATCATGTTGAGTTGATTAAAGGCTCATGTTTACCCTCAGCCAGATTCTGCACACCCCCAACCTCAGTTGTTTTGGTAATATTCCCAGAGAGGAAGATAGCCAACCTCTGCACACGGCAGCGTCAATCCCATGGGGATGTGGTTTGTATCTTGTACATCCATTATAGCCAAAAGCATCAAGGAAACCCTGGCAACCACTAAGATATCTGTCGTGGCCAGGTGTTTCAGACAAAAGCAATTAGCAGGATTCAACATGAATGCTCATTTCCTTTTTAGTAAAACTAGATTCTTCCTAACAGAGATTTTCATCACTTTCAGAATGACACAAAAAGATATTTTAGATTTTCACTGCTCGGTTACTTGTCTCTCTCTCTCAGCTGCATCCTCTGCAACTTCTGTTTTCTCTTCTGTGTACAGACAGCAGCTGGCAATGTTCAAAATTGTCATGTGCCCCTGGCAGAACAGAATTTCCTGGTTGGCTGAAGGATGGACACAAGTAATTATAGACTATATAGACTATATCTATATACAGCAATCTGACTGGCTTAACTGAGATAAGGAACAAGGCCATATTTGTTTTAAAACACACTCTGAACCACAATTTTTCTATTTAAATTACCTTCAAACATTGATTTTGTATGGTTCAGACTACAACTACCATGGATTCGATATGAGTACATCAATATACTTAAGAATCTCCTGGAAAATCTCCTTCACTTCCTGATGATATGGTAACAATCCAACAGAAGTGAAGCTTTCCCAAGAAGAGACTGCAGCAAATGCTCCTGCAATCAGGCGTAATTAAAACAACAGCATTTTAATGAGAAATGGGTTCACTACAGCCCACATTACAATCAAGCAACCACTTAATAGCTGCTGCTTAAATGATAACTATTCAGTTCTACCTGCTATAAAGATAAACTTGCTTTCTTTACTCTGGTTACAATTAGATTATTTTTTCATAAAGCGACCTATAGGAAAAGAAATTATTGGTTCTCAGAATGAATGAGAAGGAGGCAGCTGCATGTTTGCAGTGTATTCTTCTGTCTCTGAACACATTAACTCTCCCAAATAAGTGTTTTGTCCTTTTTCAAAGTGTTTCTCTCTCATGGGCAGACAAGAGTGTATACCTAATCTTACCACCTGTCCAGCGCCCTGCAAGATAGTCAGAGAGAGGATTGGTACTCACAGGTCATTATCTGTCTCAGTGCGGGTCTTCTGCTGCCGCCGATGGACCATGAAAACAGTAACAGCCACGCCGATGATGAGTCCAATGGCAACAACACCTCCAAGGATCCCAATAACACCACCTGGGGGACCCTGCGGCAATGGCTTCTCTGCAGATAAGAGGAGAAAGAACACTGTCAGGATACGTGCTCCTTGAGTAATTGATGCTGCCCGGTTGAACTCGAAAAAAGCTTTTACATTAGTGTAGATAAAGAAACTTCACTAATCACATCTTCTCACAGCAACTTGAGGTTTTCCACATCCATGGCCTTTTGCAATAAATCACAAAACTCTTAACATATTTCAGCAGCTGTTTAAAACCTTTTTATCATGAAAGCAGCCATGTATTTAAAAAGGAAAAAAACAAAACAATAGGCTGTTGCAAGGGAAAAATCTTTGCAGGCCATTTGTCATGACATTTGCCAAGCTTGAGGCTTTCTGTCATAAAACACTTCCAAACACTATTTTCAGAGACATACTTCAGGATGAAGCCAACGTCCTGTCCGTCCTGGCACTGCATGAATACCAAACTGTTGTGGTGACTTAGCAGCTGCTGCTGCATGTCTAATGTGTGCAACATCAACTGTTCAAAAGGAGCCTGAACTGGTTCGGGTTTGACAGTGAACTCAAATGCACTCATAAGAGCACGGCAAAGCTTTTGTATGTTAAAGTCCTTGCCAGCAGGGGGTAACACGTGCAAACATAGCAGAGAAAGAATGTGTGTGGTTTCCAAAATAAAATGATTTGCTCAGTTATGTTGAGAGCAAATCATGGAAAAGTTAGTCAACAACTGTCAGTACAACTTACTTTGGAAGGAGACATGAAGGTCTGACCCAGTAAACGCTGCAGCTTGTCAATGCTACTCTCTCTGCTCTGTCTTCCATATTCTAGGCTCCCGTCTGTTAATAAAACAAAGGCTATAAACTTTAAAAAGGCTCAGGGACTGCAGAGGAAAACTAAAATTCAAGATCTTGGTCCAACCTATTTCTTAAAGAGCTGCACTGGATGATGATAATCTCCTAACCTGAACTTTTGGACATGTGAGAACCAACCAGTCTCTGGAAGTGTCTCTGAGAGTTCTCAAAAGCAATCTGTGACCAGTGCCGGGGGAACATCTGAACCCAAAAGAAATATTGAAAAAGAATCACCTTGAGATGACAGCATGCAACTCTTTTAGCTCAATGCACTGCAAGAAATTGGATGTGTTTTGAAATCATCAGCTCATCTGTACAGAAAAGCCTGCTGGTGCTATGTTTTTACATGTGAAATCAACATTGAATCGCGCTGTATGAGCTCAGAATACTTCAAAATGTAATTCATCCATTGTCACATAGATGAAAAGCTGAATTGCTGCACGTCCCATGTGAACCTTTTCCACTGTGTCCCAGTTGGCCAGGTATTGCCAAGATAGTCGACAGTCACCTCCTTTCAGAAGCATAATGGAGCGGTGGCAAACAGCTCTGGCATCTGTTTTCTTTGACAAAGCTGTCCTTTTAAAGACAGACCAGGGACCGATCAATGTCTGTGAGCCTGCTGTGATTGGACACTGCAAATTTGCACCATCTTCCACTTTGAAAGAGAAAGCCTATCTCCTGCCCTCATGATGTCTCCATTATTATCTGGCCGTCCCTCCTGGTAGTGACAGGACAAGGCCTCACTCCCAGGGGAGCTCTTCTCAACAGTCCCTGCCCGCTTGCTTGATTCACTGCCCATAATAATGGATACACAGAGGACTACTTCACATACAGCCACACAATAGCAGGCACGTTGGCTCACCATGTACCTAACACTTGCCACTTCAAAGTCAGTGATTATATATCGTGTCCATCAGAGTGTTGTGTCACACCACGGCTGCTGGTGCTGCTCTAATTTTCTCTCTTGTGGTAGTTAAAAGTCTTGTCAACTCTACACAGAGAAAGCAAAGATTAGCCACAGACACCGCTTTCCTGTGATGCATTTCAATAAAAAGGCTGTGGAGTTGCTTTGAAGACCGGGTGTGACTCAGTAGAGTTGGTGTTATCGGTTGCCATGCTACTTGCTGTAGCATGGCAACAGATAAGCAGAACTCCTACTGTTGTCTCATCGCGCTCCATCATGAAAGCCAGTGGGTTGAATTTCATGGCCCTAATGCAAATGCCAGACACAATAGACTGTTGTATAACACTAATACACAGAGGAGAGCACTGGATCAGAATGCATTTTTGTTGTTGTGGGGCCTGAGGCACTCAGCACACTGGGATTTAACTGCCACCTCCTAACACATAAAGATACGGTGAGCCATCTGGTGCACAGTCCGAGCCCTGTTGGTTGATTCTTATATAACTAATAAACTCAAAATCTTAAGATTTTATTTTGAGTATAGGAGTCTTACAATGATCAGCTTAACCATCACTCATTTTCATGTTTGTGAATGACAGTGAACACTCCGGACAGTGAAACAATAAGATTACTGAGGATGCACTGTTACTCCCACATTGTGGACGTTAACGTGGAGCTGGGATAATTTTATCACAACAGTGAGAGCTACCCTCTACAGAACCCAAACACTTTTACTGTATGTGCAGCCAACAACACACTTCAGATTTCTTTAGTCCAAGTAAGCTAGTATAGATGTACCAGATAACTGGTGCCTGATGATTCTATTAGTACAGAGGATGTAATTTCAAGGACATGAATCGCTGGGAATTTGAAAACATGGTGGTACAACTACAAAGGCCAATTCTATTAGCCTAAATAAAAGTTCCTTCCATAACTTCACAACCCACAACTCACTGCAGGATTGTTGATGGTACAAAGAAAGGAAAGGTAACATATATTTTTTAAAAAGCAGTTCTGTGATGGTGGAAAAGCTGAGCTACTGCTGAAAGCACTCAGCACGAACTATGGGGGAATATGAAGGGTGTGGAATCAAGTACCCAAATGCCACAAGAGTTGATGGAAATTAGGTGATGAGGAGATGAGCATGGCAGTCAAATGAGGCAGTGACATATTTATATAACCCTAAACTTCAAGTTGTGCTCAGCCCCTGCACTGTGGCTCCAATCTTTAGCAAAACTCAAATTGCTGTTGTGTTAGTGTTCTCTGACTTAGTCCTGTGAAAGTAATTGCTTGGAAATCCCCCTGCTCTGCACACAACAGGCAGTACTACAAGAAAAGGGCTCTGTCCTTGTTGAAGAATAAACAGTGGACTGCCAGCACTAATAGGCGTGGGGACAAAGTTACTGTACGCTACAGATCTCTGCTTCCCGCCGAACAGCCACCGACAGCACCAGTGCCAACATCATTATTATATTCACCTTTAGCATCATTGTCAAAATCATAAGAGAAGAATTAACACAGTGCTGTTAGTAGGAAACAAAATACCCTGCTCCCATTCAAGAAGAAATTTTGCATACAGTATACAGTAGCTAGAGGTGTGCTCTTTTCCAGGAAAGATCCTCTATTCCACAGGAAATTACACCTTTTCTTTTCATGAAAACAACAATTGCAGTTTGTTCCGAGTATGTACTGTACTGAACATATAAAGACATTGCATAGATGGTGAGAATTCAGTACAGTTTTGCTGTGCTTGTACTTTGCTGTAGAATTTCCATTTTGTGCTTCTTCATTCTTCTGCACCACTGTATTTCAGAGATAAAAAAGCTAAATTAGTCCTTTCAATTGTGATATTTTAGTAGGGCTACATTTAACTGATAACAGAACTAGTTATGCATTTTACTTAAGTAAATCAAATGCAGGGCTTGCACCTGTATTACAGCATTTATATGTTACATTATTGCTTCTTAATGTTACATTTATGGATATTTATGGAACATAAAAGCGTCCTGAAGATAAAGAGCCCTGACATTTTTATCACCTTAGAAAGTTGTTATAGCCTGGGTAAAATTGCCTATTTTCAACATCCCACAGACACAGAGGAACATTATCATCCCGCTGGAGTCATGTTTCTACCTGACAGATGTGGTCCAGCGCTCACTCTCGTTTTAGCTCTGTTTTGGTCAGCTTTAAAGTATCTGGCTCTTGAACTGCTTTGGCTCTTTCCTTAAAACTAGTTACTAACTTTGGCTGCATGCTCTTTGTTTGCTGAGCAGATACCCCACAGAGTCTATCAGACTTTCTTGCTGGCAGCTGCTGTCTGTTGTTAAGGACTAGGACTATATAATAAATGTGCAGGTTTTAGAACCAAACAATGGGCAAAGACAGGCCAGAGAAGCTACAGAGCTGTGTGTATTAATTCTCTGTGTTATGGCGCTGAGTGACCTTTCACACACAGCATCAATTGAATCAATTCTAACATACAAATACTGATTAATGTTGGTTTCAGTAAATGATTTGCATACATTTTCCACAGCTGTGCAGATAAATCAAGTTATGAAGCCCCAGAAAACATTGTTTATATCACTAAAGTGTGTATGATCAATATTTCAAACTAAATATGACCTCTTATCCTCTATGTGTCACCAAAGTCAAGAAACACCTACAGAACATCTGTAAAATGTAAAAGTACACAACCTTTGACCTCCTCTTATTTTTCACTTGTGGAAAACCTGCCTAAAATTTGACCAGACTCCAGTGAGTAAAGGCTGTTGTTCAAATACATCTTGTAGCTGCCACTGAAAGATTGCTATTGATTTTCAATAAGTGTAAAGCACCCATCCATGCAGCGACTGTCTCTGCTGTCACTTCACCACTGTGGCACATTTGAGCTGTCAGATTTGACCTTGGCTTTTTGTGGCTGCAGCTCCCTCTGAGGTGGCAGCAGCCTTCATTCTCGTCACATCTTCACTCCAGTGTTTATTGAGCTGCACTAGGTGTGTGAGCTATTGTTGTTTTTCTCTGTAGCACAGCACATCCAAACATGGAGCGCGGTCATGGGCCTGCAAGCAGCCCTTCGTCAGCTTTGTTGGCTTGGTTGCTTTACCTTTATGTCAGCTGGTGGCCCACTGAGAATCAAATTTCCTTGACAATCCATCAAGAAGGCATTATTGGCTGAGTGCAACTTCTGTTCAGCAAGTGGCTTGGTTTGCTGTGGAGTTCAGACGTGCTGCCAGCCAGACGTCTCATGGGATGTAGAGCACACAGAGAGTAAGCGCGTTGCATGCGATTATTA